ATCTTCATCAGCTTTTTAATTTTTGATGAAGTATTGATTAGTTGTTATTTATTTTTGCAGGCTACTCAAAGATCTAGAAGACCTATCAAATCAAATCAATATGTAGTAGGCTCAAGACCCAATACATCATTTGAGATGATGGACAAAGGCTTGATCTCAGATATTTAAAGAAAAGGAAAAAAATTAAAAAATGCTTGATCACCGTTTGGAGCTAAGATGTAGAAAGCGAAAAAGTAAAAAAAACGCTTTACTGCCTCGGTTCAGAAGGAACCGAGGCAAAAAGTTCTTCAAAAAATAACCCTATTGCTTCAGTTACCTGTAAATCGAGGCAAAATCCTACCCCATTTTGTTTTGGTTCTGAACCAAGGCAAAAGGTCTACCCCTTTTTACCTCGCCTGTATATGTCTCGGTTCAGGAATCGTTGCCTAGGGGCGAAAATAAACCGTTGTCGTTTTTCTTGACTGCACTAGTGTTAGTTTATTTTTTCTATTATTATAACTATTATTTTAATATTACAATGTTAACTTCCTCATTTTAAACCAACACCTTTGTTATTAAAGGAAATATTTCATATATATTTAACGTACTTAATGTTAAACTTCACTAAAAAAAATTTAAGATATAAAATACTATTAATAATATGAAAAATATGACTATAAATTAAAATAATTAATATACAAATAAAATATGTAACATTTCATTTTAAAAACATAATCATCCTAAATAAAACATTTTATTATAAATATTCATAAAATAGTTTATCCAATGTATTTATCATATTAGTATAGTGATCCACATATAATAATATAAAACATGCACATCTCAAGTTTTTAACTACGGTTCTATTTCAAAGATATACTTAACATGATCTATAATCGTTCCATGACTCAAACAACTAGTTCATCATATCTTAGAGAAAGCCCTAAACTTGTATCTTTATCTGCTCATAAGGTGATCATTGCAAAAAAATACAAACAAACAAGAGAGGATAAGTTAATATACAAAAGGAACATCATATATTCATAAAACATGCTATATCACAATACAATGCACTCCAACATCTCATAGAGATATAAAATATAAAATCAAAGACTATTCTAAACTCAATTATCCAAATACAAACATTGATGTCGAATCTTGGGAGGTTTTACACTTATAGTTTACTACATTGTAGAGGATAGGTCTCAACCTAGCACTAACAAGGTTAATCATCTACTATCATAAGAACTACATTGTTTTTTAAACTAGGACCTCTTGTAATTCTCACCACATACACATATCCTACTCTACCTGAGTCAGAATGATTATTAGAGTGTCAGAATAACCTCTAACCTTAGACTCCAACATCAATGCATACATTACACAACAAATGGAACTTCTCCATGCAATTCCTTTCTCCAAAACAACCACACTTTACTTCATTCATATAATCATTAGCTCGTTCAAAATCCATTCATCTACATAAATCATAACTTAACATATTTCATACATTTGTAGCATCAATAAATAAACATCTACACATATATACCTCAAATAACACATTGTGAAGTTTAGAAACCATTTTTAAAGTCACTCAACCATCACCTAACATCACTTACTATCGCCCAACACCACTCAAACAGGAGTCCCTGAAAGAGTAACACCCAGCGCAACCTAAGTGGCACCTAACACCAGCCTAAGTGCCTAGTGGTCGCCCAGCAAAAGGACCCTTGGAACTCCTAAGTGTCACAACCAAGATCGCGACGGGACAACGAACCAAAAATGAACAAGTTTAAGAAAAGATTTTGGGAGTCACCACCATAATTTATTCTGGAAAAACTATGAAAAACCATAAAATAAAACTGTAGTCTACGAAAACTAGATTTTAGGTTCAAAAATCGGTTACATGTAAGGAAGGTATTAGCACCCTATTGTGTCTGTCCAAAAGCAGTACATTTAATTAAATGTATAAAGTTGACGAAAATTTTCAAAATATTTAATTTTCTCTAAAAAATAATAATATAAAGAAACTAATAAAAAACAAAAAAATATTTTTTGTTTTATGAACCCGACAATGATCTTGCTCCTATGTATATCCATTCATGATGAAAAATTAGGGATCACGTAGTTCTAGTAAACAAAAAGTTTGGTTTAACAAAATTGACATTTTTTTGTTTTAAAGATTTTGTATTTTTTTTATTTCAAGAATGGTAAGAAAAAAGAAAGAAACCGGCCATACTTATATTCCAAAATTTATTATTTAGAAAAACGTTATTTATATGTAGTAAAAAAAATAAAACCTTTAGAAAAACCTTCAAAGTACAATAAAAAAAGTAAACGAAGGGTGCACAGGTGACATACATTTTTAGCTTTTAGTACTCCCCTAATTCTTCGTGGGTAGTTTTTGTTGGCGGAATTCCTCTAGCGTGAGAACTTGTTTTCCTCTATATTCTCTCACTCTTTTTATCTATTATTTCTGAGTATCTCTCTTTTCTTTCCTTCCCTTTTTTTCTATGATAGTGTGCGCATTTATATACAAACATTGTAATATTATGGTAATCTTGCCTTGTGAATTAATTAACAACGAACAAAATAGGAAAAGAAAAAGTGTTAGATTCCACGAAAAACAAATCAAATAATATTCAAGACATTGATTATAATTATTGTCAGAAAATTTTGTCCATTTTTAAAATCATATTTTTCTCTTTAAAAGAAACTGACGCAGCAAAATATATCAATATATTATTTTAATTATTGCTTATAATTATTGGCATAATATTAATTCAAATTATTATCATATTAGACTAATATTTCAAAAATATTTTAAAGTTTGAAAATTAGGTATACATTTTTTTAGGGAAATTTACTTTATTATTTTCTTCATCCTTTTTTTCCTTACCCACCATTAATTATTATTCTCTAATCCTTTATTTTTATTTATTCAATTACCTGGACGAAATTGGGTGTTGACACTAGATTATAATTAAATTTTTGGTACCCAATAGTCCTGATTAGCACCTAGTGACAAGTCAGTGAGCTATTTAACTTTGGTATGCCTAAGTGAGAAGAACCCTCCTCCAACGACAACAAACTTAGAGAAGTCACTACCATAGTGGCACTCAACTCTATCTGTAGCACCTAACAATATAAAAAAATCTTCATTTGTCCTTTTGAGTTTGATTCATGTAATTTGACACTCCTTGAGTTGATTCTTAGTGTTTAAACATTTCAATAATCACAAAACTAGCTCCTTTTGGCTCAACCAATGTCAAATTACCCAATTCACGCTCAAAGGGGCATTCTCAACGTCATATTAATCGGTTTCAATGCATTTCTCCAATCCAAAACAAGTCAGAAAGAATTTTTCATACCTCTACTTCAAAATCAAATCATTGGCTCATAAATACATTTAAATTCACCACTTTAAAGTTAAACATGCAATTCATATCGTAAAGGAATACTTATTCATAACTTAAAACATCACATTCACAATTCACAACACCAATTAACAAATATTAGCAAAAATATAGAATTAGTCTTTCTCATTTGTGAATTTAAATGGCTCTAAAAACATCAAAACTGGACTATAAATTTGAAAATAAGTTATAGATATATGAAATGCTAAAACTGAACTATATTTGTTGGTTTTCTGTTTTGTAGGTTCAGAAAAACTCTAAAATGATTCATTTATTAAAAAAGACAAAGATAAGAGACGTTTGGAAGTGCATTTTTGAACCTTATTTAACTCATTTAAGGTCGAAAATGGTAATCTTCAAGACGTTAATGAACGTTTGAAATGATCATTTTCAAACATTAGTTGACATCATAAATGAACATTTTTCGACTTCAATTAACATATGAAAATAATCGTTTCTAACATCAATTTATTTCTGAAATTGTCATTTTTGACATCAATTAACTACTTCCAATATAATATCAGTGTATTTTGAACGGGGGTCGTAGCTCTTTTTGTACTCTTGACAACAAATTGCATTACCAAATATTTTAAAATTATCAACAAATAATTTCATCTGTATTTGTATATATTTCAACATTAATTAAATTATCTACGAAATTGTTTTTTAGTAATTATTGACAAATATTTCATTCAATAATTATTGAAGAAATATTCTGTCAATATAATATAATATAATATAATATAACATAATATAACATAATATAATATAATATAATATAGTATAATATAATATAATATAATATATATATATATATATAGATATAAATAATTGATCGACAATAATTATTAAATAACATATTGGTCAATATTTGTACACAAATTTTTTATTAGGTAATTATAAAAAAAATTTGTAGTGTTTGTCAATAGACAAATTTTTGATAATCTTTTCTTGTAAAAAAATTTCCTTTTATCAATATATTTATCTTACTATTGACTTGACGAATTAATAATTTTGTTTTTTCTTGTAATTGAACGAATATTGATATTTTGATTATGTTAACCCAAAATATTTATTTGAGGCAAGAGATATCTAATGAAATTTTAGATTTCTGATATCAAAGTCTTCAAGGAGACAGAGACAAAAATTTACTCAAATGCTAAAGAGATTTTTATTGATTATCTTAATCGAAAGAAAGATATTGTGATGAGTATTATTGTGATGAGTATGTTGCGCTATGTCATGGATGTTGTGTAATGTTTAACAAGTCAACAGCAAAAGCTTTTAAGGTGAATTCATGAAGAATCGAAATCATCACCACAATTCATGAAGTATAAACAAAGACATTATAACACACCCAATAATTTGTTGAAGAAGATGAGAAGTATAAAATGAATTAAAATTAAACATTATATAAGTATTCATTTTACATAAGAGAATATAGAGGTTATAATCAGGTCTAACTTTCAAAATTTTATAAGAAAATTCTTAAGCAAGTACTTCATCAACACTCCTGTTTGCTGAATGTTTTCCCCACTTCAATTTCTCCAATCTAACAAATCCCAAAGGTAGACTTGACTTTGAAGAAAAGAAAATTGAGAAACATTATGAGAGAGACTCGTGTAAGACGAAAAGAATTAACAAAAAGTCTGGAGGAACACGAAAAGTGTGGAGGAACGGTTCTCGAAACAAGTAGTATGTGACAGGATAAGAGAATGTTACTATCTTTACATAGGACAACATTTTCAGCAACCTTAAAACGATTAAAGGACAAACAGAGCTCTCAATGACGGCTTGTTCAAGAAGGGCAAAGTCACACGTGGAGGAGACCTCATGACAGGCTATCGAACTTCTGATATCGAGATGGGTGAGATTCGGGGTAGAAAGCACAATCTTGTACTTCACTTCGGAGTACCTTATCGTGGTGAAACGAGAAAGATTGGGATTTGATATGCTGAGGACTTTGGCAGGGTTGCTCAAAGAACACCCCATAAGGACCAAACTGTTCAACAAAAAACAGGATGAAAAGGGTTCGGCGCACTCATCACCGTCACTTCCGGTGAAAGTGACATTTGTGAGATTCAAGGTTCTGAGCGAAGGTAGTTCTAGAGATTGTGGAAGTTTCAAGATACCAAGAGTACATGAAAGAGTGAGAGATGTGAGAGAGGGTGAAGAAAAGATGACAGGTATGGAATGATAAAACTCTTTTGGAGAAAAGTAATCGAGATAGATGCTCAAATTTGGCACGTAATGCAGAAGAGGAGTGATATGGTTGAGAAGCTCTTGTGTTAAGGTGCATGCTTCTAGATCAAGACGATGCAAACTAATGGAAGTGTCTCTCTTGGAGACAACATGGTAGACAAATTGGTCGTAGCTGTCGAGAGTTTTGAAGTCGCTGCGTTTGAAACAGAGAGTGGTGAGACATTTCCAAACTTTGTTCCATCGTTTGGATAAGAGAGACGTTCGAACTGCTGTAGTTGTGTCCATGAAATGCATAATGTGGAGAAGAACATCGTCAGACAACTCACTGAGGAAGTCCATCTTATCTTTCTCTCTTCTGGTATTCTGTTTCTTCTTGGTTTGTGGCTTCAACTCTTCCATGCTTTCTTTTTCTTCTTCCATGGATGAAAGGACAAAAGGTGTTAGATTCATCATATACCTTACTTATATAAACTCCCTAAAGAATGGCAGGTTTTTTGTTCACTCAGTCTATTTCCCAAGATTCAAAGGACTTTCCTCCGTTTATATTAAGGTAATTTGAAATAATATCTTCTTTTAAGATTTTCAACGTGTTGTTAGAGATAATTCTGTTTAAATTCACTGTATTTTTTTAAGAGAATATTTCTTCTGTTTAGATTCCGACCTACAAAATGTTTAATACAAATTAGTGTAGCAATTATTCTTTTAATATAAAAATATAATTTTGTCTTTTATATTAATTCATATATATTTTTGTTTTGTCATAGCATATGGACAATTGATAGTTCTGATATTAAATATGGAATGAACCCTTGCCGTTAAATTAATAATTAATTTTTTTTTATTTAAGAATGTAGTTTTTAAAACTTTCTCTACCCCAACATTCTTATTTATATTTTAAATTTCTATGATTTTTTATAAATTTATAAATAGAACATATTATTTTAAATACATTAAAATAATAAATATAGTTATATTCATAAAAAGATTTTAATTTTTTATTAATATTTATTAGTATTTAAACTAAATATAAATTAAAATTTAATGAGGTATGTTATGCAATTATTTAAATATTTCATTTTACTACGTGTTGCACTTTATTTTTATTGTTTGTAATTAATAATTTTAAATATATTTATTATTAAACGTGTTTTATGAATATTTTCAGTTAGTATATTTTTATTAATTATTTTAATTAATATATTAATTTATTTTAAATACATAATTTTTTATAATTGAGATTTTTTATTTCGTTTCTTAATTTAAAAAATTAAATATATTTGTTTATTTATAAAGACACAAAAAATTGTGTTTTAAATTAACAGTAATTTAAAAATAATAAAACTCATTTATTTTAATATTAAAATATTTTAATATAAATAATTTTTTTATAAATGAGTTTCATAATTTAAAACAGAATAATTTTACAGTTAACTCATCAATCAATTTTGTCTGTGTAATTTAGTTTTCTTCCTATATTTTCTCTTTTCAATATATTAGTTAATAAAATATAATGATCGTAACAAATTTAATAATTTGTTATATATATATGATTCAAATTATATTTGTTAATCCTATTATTAGTATCAAATCATAAGTTTGAAATAATTATCAAAATTGTTACAGTACCCAATAATATTCAACATAATCCTGGTACCGGCAATCCGAAGTAAAGAACACCAAATTACCATCTCATCTTTCTTCCGTGCGATGCCCTCGGTGGGAGTAACATGGCAAGTTAATCGTTGAATTATTAATAAGAAAGGAAAACATGGGACATTTTAAGATAAACTAATACCAAATACAAAAAAGGTCAAATTCTCCCGTGTTCATTATGCGGGACGAACTTCATAAACCTTCACAAAAACACAACCCATATGTATAAAAAAAAATCACAGAATTTAATTAAGTCATCTAATGTAATGTTTCAGCACAGGCCAGTGTGTAATCCTCTAGTCTTTCAAGGGTTTTCATTCACGGAAAAAGAAAAACAAAAAGGAAAACAAAACCGAAAAAAAAATACAAGTCAACATAAAAGCGCAAATCTTTGAAGGTTGATACTGCAAGTTATGTAACTTGTTCTCACTTCTCATCCCTTTAATTGTTAAAGAAAAAATAGAAAAAAGTAATTAGGCTCTTCAATTCATAATTATTTTCATTGAATTTTGGTAATCTTAGCATAGAATCTTAGATAAATAAAAATAATAAAAACTAAAATATCAATTAACTCATAATAAAAACACTTTCTTAATCTATTTCTATCTTATATAAAATAAATAAAATAATACTATATCTAAATAAATGAATAATAAAAAAGTAATATCTTTATTTTATCTTTATCAAAATCAAACTAAATATTATTAAATTTAAAATGATAAAATAATATTTAAACAAAATTACTAATAAATCTCAAAAATTTAAGTTTATCCAAATATTAATCATATCTTCAATTATTTAAAATAAGATTTAAACAAAATTACTAATAAATCTCTAAAATTTAAGTTTATCCTAATATTAATAGTATTTTCAGTTACTTAATTTCAATTTTGATAGCGGAAGTTCAGCCCTATTGTAAAAGATATGAGCGGTACTTATAAGCTTTGCTCAATCCTAATTTTATATGTTAATTTTTGTGAAAACAAATCAAATTATAAACTTATATTTGAAACTATAGTATAATTTTGTACAAATCTAGTTATATAATTCAGCTTTAATGTTCAAATTAAAGAATGAAGAAGCCTAAAAAAACAATTGCCACCTTAAGCCGCCTTAATGGCATAATCAACTTGTATCCGAGCCAAGGGAGTTACCATGTCTCTCTCCAGGATGATCTGCAATTAAACGTAACAACTAAGATATTAGTATGGTAAATAACCTCCATTAAAAACTAAGAAGGAAATATAAAATGAACTAAAATTAAAATTTGTAAAAGTATTTATCTACCTAAGAATATGGAATAGAGGGTTTGCGCTCCACCAAGGAAGAAAACATACTCAGCTATACTCTTCCTGTCATATTTATCCCCATACCAATCTGCATCAGAATAAGAGGTAATTTGTACCTCTTTTCCTGGTTCTCCTCTTGGCAGCAGTATTCCATAAGTATGTGTACCTTTCAAGTACCTTAGGATGCGCTTGGCAGCATTCAAATGAAAAATTCTTGGACTCTGCATGTATCTGCTTATAACTCCTACATTGTAGCTGAGATCAGGCCTAGTATTACATAGATACTTTAGGCTACCAACCATCTTCCTATAATTTGTAGGCTCTACTCCTTCTTCTTCGGGATCTTTCTCTAGCCTCACATCCACTTCTGCTGGAGTATTTGCATAATTTCAATTCATCATGTCAAATTTCTTTAACATTTCCAGCGCATATCTTGATTGATGCATCACAATTCCACCATCAGTCTCAGTAAACTCAATCCCAAGAAAATAGCTCAACCTTCCCAAATCACTCATTTCAAATTCCTTTAACATTTGGATTTTGAAATCAGAGATTTCCACATTTTAGTGCTTTGGTCAGTATATCTGCGATTTGGTCTTCGGATCTGTAGTATACGACCTCCAGCTTCCCTATACTCATTTGCTCTCTAATATAATGAAATATGGTTTCTATATGCTTACTTCTCCCATGAGAAGCAAGATGTTTAGCTAGATTAATAGTTGACTTGTTATCAATAAATAGCTTTATCTTTCCAGTTGAAACAACCTTCAGCCCTTTCCACAGTGAACTCAGCCAAGCTGCTTGACAAGTGGCTTCATAGGCAGCAATGTATTCTGCCTCACAGGAAGATAAAGCCACTACGGGTTCCTTTGTCGAGCTCCATGAAATTGGCGCTCCCCTAAGGAAGAAAACATACCCAGTTGTACTCTTCCTGTCACATTTATCCCCACACCAATCTACATCAGAATAAGAGGTAATTTGTAACTCTTTTCCTGGTTCTCCTCTTGGCAGCAGTATTCCATAGGTACGTGTACCTTTCAAGTACCTTAGGATGCGCTTGGCAACATTCAAATGAGAGATTCTTGTATTGTCATACAACTAATTTCAATGAACAGAAAATTTAGTCTATCCTAGACATCTCAAACGTACTCTTTACAACAATTCCTTGTAGAAAGTGAAGTCTTTGATGTCTTGAAATGTCTCCTAAGCGTCTCCTGAAGTTCTACAGTATTTTTCTCGCTTTGTTTGTGTCCGAAGATAGTTTCTATCTTTTTGTCACATCTTTTTAAACCACTTAACTTCATTAATTCGCTCAGCGCACATGTGTGTATGCGCTGTACGAATTTTCTTAACTGCTACACTTCAACTTATGATATTCGCAACAGGTACTGCGAATTGCCTCTTCTAGTCGTGCGAATTTTGACTTTCGCTTTGGGAGATTTGGCTGACAACAGTCCAAATAATACAACATTTCCTGTACAATGTTTAATATAACGTTCTACTACCTATTACAACTTTTCAATAAAGGAACAAATATTTATTTTAAATACACATAAGATACTAATTAATTTTAATACAATGTTTAATATAACAGTCCAAATATTTATTAGCTTCTAAAATAAACATAAATTAAAATTAATTAGTATCTTATGTTTATTTAAATATTTATTGTTATTATGCGGTGCACTTTATTTTCATTGTTTGCAATTAATAATTTTAAATATGTTTATTTTTAAATTATGAATATTTTCAGTTAGTATATTTTTATTAACTATTTTAAACACATAATTTTTTATAATTTTGAGTTGTTTATCTAGTTATTTTTAAAAGTAATGATACTTTATTATTTTAATGATAAAATGTTTAAGTATAACTAGAAATATAAAAAAAAAAGGTCTCATTATGTAAAAATATTCTACTTATATAGAATCTATTTTCTAATTAAAAGTTGTTTTCCTTCTCTTTTAGTTTTCTCACAATTTGTTCCTTGAGGCTTCGTCTCATTTGATTCCTACTTGCATGTGATCCTTGTAAGTTTTTTTTTTATTTCTACTTATCAATGTTTTCATTGGCATTGTCAGATCGTTTTAGAAAAGGGTACTCTGCAGGAGATGTTTTTGCTGTTTGGGATCTTGTGAGCTACTTGGTAAAGTAACCCAAATTACTAACAAATTATACTTGTAATCCTATTAGTGTTAAATCATAAGTTTGAAATAATTATAAAAAAAATTGTTATAGTACCCAATAATATTCAACATAATCTTGGTACCGGCAATTCGAAGTAATTAAGAACACCAAATTACCATCTCATCTTTCTTCCGTGCAATGCTCTCAGTGGGAGTAACATGGCAAGTTAATCGTTGAAATAATAAGAAACGAAAACATGGGATATTTTAA